CTGGCTGTGTTGCCGGCCGACGTGAACTAGTGCGAACCGTGGCCGCGACTTAAATCCTTGGTTTCTCATGTTCGCATGCACGGGGACAAGATGCGTCGAAGATGCGACCGCTCGTTGGGCGTCCTGCCAACGCAAACTCAAATCTGGGTGGATACGACCCAATTGTCACCCTCAAACGGACGAAATCCAGATAAAACGGACGTCTGTTTGGGTCATGCGTTGGAGTAGGCCTTAGTATGGAGCAGACCATGTGCCACAAGCTCCGGTCCAGAAAAAGTAGAAAGTAGCGTCGTTAGAACACCATTGTGGGCCACAACATTAATGGACAACCGGCAAGAAGCACTGGCGCATTGAATATTGATGCAATGAAAAAGAAATGCATCATGCAATACGCCTGTGTTCACTGATCCCTATGTGGACCAACGGCTCGGATAATGATACCATATGGTAATATGACCCATGTTGAATTTCCGCTATTCCTATGCATACAACAAGGAGCGATTGCTCTAACAAGATTCGAGACACGAACCAACCTGTAGTTGGATGGTTATGTGGACAGTGGTATCCCAGCCCACCAGGGTTCAAGTCCTGGTGCTCGCACTTATCCTACGGTGACTTATTCATAAAATCTCAAGATGATATGCCGGCTCGATCTCTCAGAGATGCTCATAGGGATAGGATGTACGTGTGTGTGTTATAATAGTATGAGCACTTGCGTCTGTACTGTGTTTAAAAAAAAGCAAGATTCGAGATGAGGAGGCGTTTCCGCTTTGGAGCTTTTTTAATTTTTTTGAGCCGGAATACTCTTTATTCCATTAACCAGAACGGCCAGTCAAATTGCTGGCAATTAACGCATGAACAAAGTCTGGAGCCCCATCCGGCCACAAGGCTGAGGATGCATGGCTCATATGTGCACCGTGAGCAGCTAGGGCGTGTTTGGTAGCCTGCATGAGGCCCGGCCTGGCTCGCGCGGGACGAAAACGGGTCGATTGGTTGCCTGCTTTCACTGTTCGGCCCACATGACACGAACCTTAAAGCACTCCTAGGCCTGGCTCCCTGGGAACGCACGAATCGGCAGTTTCTCCAAGGCCATGCCCGAGCGGTGCACGTGGGCGGCGACGGCTGCACGTGCGCGGGCACGCTCGAGAAGCCACGTTGCTTCCCGAAGCGCCGGCAGTTATTAGCCTCACCGCCCCTCACCGCTCCCTCTCCCCACTCTTCCCCACTCTCCCAACTCTCACCGGCGGCGGCGGATCGGAGCAGAGCAAGAAGACCACCGGACTCCATCACCGGCGAGCGGATCAGCAGTTGGCCCGCAGCAATGGCGGTAAGCACTTCTCTTTGTTCGACATGCAAAACTTTTTCCCGTTCGATCCGGCGATAGATTCGATCCACGGCGGAGGGGAATGGGGAATAGAGGTAGATAAGCATAGGGGTAGTTCATACTAGTTCATACCAGTTCATATGAGTTCATATATGCAAGATCGGAATAGAGGTAGATGCGGATGCAGAAGGGGGATTGGGGGATAGGGGGTACACAACGGACACCGGCTCAACGCGGCGGCCGTCACCGGCGTGCGGAGCGGTGGGTCGAGCTGCTGGCCTTCATCTTCTTCTTCATCGCCGTGCGGGCCGGCGGGTCATCGTCGTCGTCCTCGGTGGAGTCGAGGTCGATCTGCCAGGTACGACGGCCTGGCTCCGGCGCCCTTGCTGGCATCTGCATCGCTTCTTCTTCCTCCTTAGGCTCCCCACCGATGACCGCCGGCGGCGCGATAGCCGTCTCCCAGTACACTGCGGCACGGCGGTCATTAGGAGCCCAGTAGTTCTTGTACTTGCACCACTTCTTCCTCTGTTTACCGTCGTCGGAGACGGCCTGATTCATGGCCCAGCGAATGATGTCAACTGCCATCGCGCCCTTCGCTGGGTCAGGAATCAACGTCTTCAGCTCTTCTGCAATGGCCTTCATGAACACTGCATTAGATTCCTTCTGCATGTCAGGCATGGAGCCGAAGTTCGAGCACACCTCCATGGTGTTCTCGAACTTGGTGCGGTCACCAGCCGACCACCCAAGGAAGAAGGCCCTCCAGCCAATACCCTAAAGGAAGGGGTTGGCTTTGGAGCTGGAGCTAGAGCTCATGGCGATGAGGAGGAGGAAGGTTGACAGTTAGAGAAGAGAGGGGGTGGGTAAGTAGTGGTGGGCAGGGTGAGTAAATATAGGGGCGATGAAGAGGAGGAGAAGAGTGACAGTCATGCCGTTTTAACTACATGCTCTTCAATAAGCCATGAAATCTGTGCTGTGCCTGACTCCATGAATTGTGTGCAGATCGAGGAGAGCAATGAGATGGGCATGGAGGTGCTCCCGACCGTTGACAACAAGGGAAAGCAACCCCTTCACCTAATGCCCGACGAGGTTGTGCTGCCGCCCACTGCCGAGGAAGACCCGAAGACGCCTGAGGGTGGCGACGATGAGGGCATGGAGGAGCCCCCCCAGCAACAAGCGCCGCAACTACGGCCACTACCATCAGGAGGATGGCCCAACTCACTTCTGCAAGGTCATCCTTGCACCGAAACTTGAGTGCATCCCCATGCCCCTAGACTTCACCAAGCACTTCGTCGCGGTGCCGACGGAGTTCAAGCTCAGGAACAACACCGGCTGCTCCTGGAAGGTGACGGTGAAGCTGATGAACGGCAGGGTGACCCTGGATCAGGGTTGGGCCACCTACGCAGCCGTTCATCAGATCAAGATCGGCTACATGGTGAGGTTCAAGCTCCTCACTCCAGACACCCTCAAGGTCACCATCTTCGACGACGATTGCATTGAGGTCGTCAACAAGTGCGGGAAGCACGACGAAGCCTTCGCCGCCAAGGAGTAGGGTCGGGGCCTCCCTAAGTACTATCGAGTCTGCTTTGAACTGTTTATGTTTATGATTTATGCATAGAACTGTTATGAAGTGTGGTACTGCTTATCAGAAATATGCTCTTAAGTAGCTGATCCTCTTTTTATACTCTGCTCTGCTTATGATGTGTGCTACATGGTTGTGCCGAAGTGTGCTGGTAACATCACCAACTAGCCAAAGAGGTTACCACACACCAGACGTTGCATACAACCAAACACCATGCCTTGGATTTGTCCACTAACATGCAGGCAACCGAACACCAGCAGTGTGGTTCTGCCCATGCAGGCAACCAAACAGCATGCAGATGATGCATTTGAGGCTGCATTTACATAGCCAGACTAAGTTGAGAAGGCTATGCAATGCACCTACTGTTGGCTACATCAACCAAACACGCTCCTAGAGAATCAGCTACAGTATTACAGCCCCTTGGGCAAAAAACAATCTTAAAAAAGAAAAAGTTTAAACTAACAAAGATTTTAATCTCTCTGAAGACAATACCGATGGAAGAGCGGTACTGGTCTGTCCCTTTGATTGCATGCATAAGGAAAAGCCAACGGCAGCCGACCCAATTTTCAGCCGGCCACCATGCAACCATTGGATAGGGCGTTCCCCCGTTGGCGTCTCTGTCCCGGCCGCCATGTGTGCCCATTCGGCGAGGGACGACAAGCGTCCCGCCAGCAAGCTCTCCAGCATCGATCGGAGTAGCTAGAGAACTTGCAAGAAACCGGAATTGGTCAGTTGCCTGACAAAGTCCTCCCAGAATCTTCCCAGCGGTAAACAAACCATGCAAGTAGACCTCACGTAAAAACATTTTTTTGTGTTCAGTTGCGCTCCTGCGCATGCAAGACCTAGCCGCAACTATGCATAATCGGCTACGGTGACACTTATCAGGATTATTAAAGACAAAGCCAAAATCTCGATCAGCATTCACCGAAACAAACAGTATTTTTTTTTCTTTTTTTGAAGAGCTACGATACAGGCCAGAACAAACAAAGGTAACACAAACACAAACACTGGAAAATGAACAGGAATGACATAGAAAGACATCTAACAAAAATAATAAACCAACCGGAAATATATGACAACTCACACAGCCAGAAAAAGAAGCAACACATGTATGACCTGAAGCTACTTTCAACGAGATTCCACATTTACCAACCAACCATTATGCACTCATTAGAGCAACAAAAAAACTCGCAGATGGGGAGGGACTGGATTGCGACATACCCACAGGCTAGGTTATTACATACTCCGTAGTTCTATAATAACAAAATGGCTCCCAGACTTTCACATTGCCCCTTCCCTCTCCTGACCTCCCAGACTTCCACATATGCCATTGCCTCAATTCTCTCGGTGTCCGCGTGGCCACCTCCCTGCGCCCCTGCCCCTGTTGTTCAAGTTCCTCGGCTGGTAGTACCCATCGTCGTTGTTGTAGTACCCGCCGCCACCACCACCACCCCGGCTATTCTGGTACCCGCCGCTGCCACCACCACCCCGGCTGTTCTGGTACCCGCCACCGCCA